TTTATACTAGACCTTTTAAACACGTAAACATTTCCACAATTTATGTACAAAAAGTTCCTTTTTTATAGAGCGGTGGCTCGCACCTGTAATCCTAGCATTCTGGGAGGCCAAGGTGGGAGGATCGCTTGAGGTCAGGAGTTTGAGATCTGCCTGAGCAAGAGCGAGACCCCATCTCTACTAAAAATAGAAAAAAATTAACTGGTCGTAGTGGTGGGCACCTATAGTCCCAGCTACCCGGGAGGCTGAGGCAGGAGGATCGCTTGAGCCCAGGAGTTTGAGGTTGCTGTGAGCTAGGCCGACGCCACGGCATTTTAGCCTAGGCAACAGAGCGAGATTCTGTCTCAAAAAAAAAAAAAAAAAGTTCCTTTTATTAGTAGAGAAGTTGAGTGTCTTAAAAATTTTTTGATTGAAGCCAGGTGTGGTGGCTCATGCCTGTAATCCTATCACTTTGGGAAGCTTAGGTGTGAGGATTGCTTGAGGCCAGGAGTTTGAGACCAGCCTGGGGAACATAGCCAGACCCTGTCTCTACAAAAAATAGAAAAACTAGCCAGGCATGGTGGGGATACCTTCTAACAATATCCACACTCCCATGTTCGCTGCAGCATTATTCACACTAGCCAAGATATGGAAACAATCTAAATGTCCATTGCCGGATGAATGGATAAAGAAAATGTAGTGTGTACACACACACACACACACACACACACAGAGGAATATTATTCAGCCTTAAAAAAGAAGGAAATCTTGCCATTTGCCCCAAAATGGATGAACCCGGAGGATATTATGCTAACTGAAATAAGCCAGCACCAGAGAGGAAAATACTGCATGATCTCACTTATATGTGGAATTTACTTTTTTAAAAAGTACTCAAATATAGAGGTAAAGAATGAACAGAGGTTACCATAGGTGCAGTCTGGGGGAAGAGGAAATAGGAAGATGTAGGTCAAAGGATAACAAAATAGTAAATATGTATGATGAACAAGCTTAGAGAGCCAATGTACAACATGAAGACTAAGGTTAGTAAAATTGTATTAGGGATTTTTGTTAAATAAGTAAATTTTATCTGCTCTTGTTACCAAGAAAAAAAGTAACTATGTAAGATGATAGATATTGTTAATCTGTTCCACTATGGTAAGCATTTTAAAATCTATATGTATTCGGGGGGGGGAAGGCAAGGGCAACATACATAACCTAAACATCTGTACCCCCATAATATGCTGAAATAAAAAAAAAAAACCAAAATAAAAAAAAATAAAAAAAAAATCTATATGTATTCCATAATGTCATGTTGTTAACCTCATATATACACAATAAAATTTATTTTTTATTTTATTTTATTATTATTTTTTTAGATGTGGGGTCTTGTTCCGTTACCCAGGCTGGAGTGCAGTGGCCAGATTATAGCTCACTGCAGCCTCTAACTCCTGGGATCAAGTGATCCTCCCACCTCAGCTTCCCAAGTAGCTGGGACGACAGGCGAGAGCCACTGCACCTGGGGAATTAATTTTTTTAAAAAACAAACAAAAACATCAAGTGAACAAAGTGCCACCACACGAAACACAAATTGCACCTGCAGTTAAGAGCGTAACAGTGTGTACTAAGTCATTTTACAAAGTAAAATTAATATCTTAGCTTCACCTTTATTCTGTTTTAAACTGAGATTATCCGCACACTGAGGCAGCATCAGTTTGCCCTTGCAACATGGAACCATCAGGGCAGGGAGCCAGGAGGACATTCTGTTTCCTGCTTATCACATAGTTTTCTACCCAGAAAAGTTATTTTCAATTGTGAAATCTACTCTGCCCATTCAGAAAGTCTCAGAGCCGTTGATCTGTGGTCAAAGACTGAGTTGGAATAACTTTAGAAATAATAACAGCAGGTTCCATCTGCTGTCTACTATATGCTAAGAAATAAACAGGTAGTAAACAATTTAATTCTTACAGCAACCCTTGAGGGTAAGTGATGTTATTTCTGTCGTTTCTCTCGGGGATCTACAAACTATGGCATGGACCTAATCTGACCAGCCTCCCGTTTTTGTAAATAAAGTTTTATTGGAACACGGTTTACATATTATCTATGGCTGCTTTCACATGACAGTGGCAGAGTTAGGTACTAGTCATTATACAGGCTATATGGCCTGCAAAACCTAAATTATTCTCAGAGAGGACAAGTTGATTTTCCCAGTTTCATAAAGCTAAGACTCAAATCTCTACCTACGAAGTCTGCGTTCTTAACCACAAATGCCACATCACCTCTCCTTTCAGAGCCAGCACCATGTTTGACCAACGGCACTTGAAAAGGTGATAGGATTTGTGCAGGTCTCGTTTGAAGCTGTACGGGGAAGGGCCTTGAGCATACTGTGAGACCATTCTAATGTGGTTGCCCAGAGAACTCTCCACTCAGTCCT